TTATATAGTGTTCTGTACATATGGTGACAGCATTGGATGAAGATTTCTGGAAGTTCTTTGCAGTAATTTAAAATGTGGGGTCTACCAATTCAGATCCGTACTAGAAAGCAGTATGAGTTTGCATTAGACTGCCAACATTTTTTGTTTTCCAAAAGAAAACTCGTTGTGGAATAATAACACAAAACTCATCTCTAAAATGCTTCATCTTAATTACATTTCTTGGGGTTTTTTGTTTTTTTTAAATGCAACCCCTTCCACTTGAACCAAGATGGTGATGCCAGTCTTTATCTGGGGTTGATTTTTTTTTTTTTTCTTTTTATATGAAAAAATAGTCTAAGTGTTTGTAATGAAAATGTTGTTATAACCTTAACTATACTAATGCTGATGGGCACCATCAAAAGCATCTTTGTCTCTGAGCTCATTACTGTACTGAATCACATGAGCCTGTAAGTCTAACCTCGTCTACTGATGTGTTAGCTTTGTCTTTTTTTGTCTTAACTCCCTAGGATTTTATATTCTCAGGAAAAGTTTCTATTTTTGACATTATGGCATGTCCAGGCTAGCTGATGCTCAACATATAAACCAAAGTTGTCCAATACTACCCTTGCTGTTCCACATGTGGGTCTCGTCTTTTTTTTCTATACCTGTACCTGTTGGGGAATCCTCAATATTTGCATTTTTTTCTTTATTCCCCGGGTTCAGTTGGTTTTCCTCTTTTTTGTTCTCCAAGTTCCAATTTTCCTTCCAGTCCAAGATGTCTTGAGGCCAGAGGAAAACTGGGAGAACCAGTATTTTTGCAGTCCATTGTACTCCTGCAGTGTCTTCAGGAGGAGACACCAGAGAATGAGTTTCTCGAGTGTCTCAGTGTGGTAAGAAGTGGAAGTGGGTACTTCTGAAATCCTGTCTAGAAGAGATGGTCCTCTGCTTTGAGTTCTGAAGATAGATTTTGCTGCCTTAACTGTCTCCATCCTGGTGCTTCATATAACACTGCAGCTCTCCAGTAGGGAAATTATCACTGTGGTGTGTGCACAAATCTGGCCATTCTGCAAGTATTTGCTTGGACAGGGCACCTAGAAATGAATTTTTGTTACAGTCACAAGTTTGACTACACAACTTGCCATTATATATTAAAAGTGATCTGTAAACATACCCTCCTTTTGCTGCTTTTTTCATACATTGTGAGGATCTCAAAGGATTTCTGTTTGTGGTGGTCTTTGATTTTGCTGCTTAATCCTATATAACTACCACGAGACCATGGTTTTACTGGAGGTTCTTCCAAATGTTTTGGAAACTGTATTGTTTGCTCTCACTATAATTGAAGGGCAGAGAGAGATCCCAGAGGGCTGTGTAAAATGTTCGTTAGCAACTGAAACTAAATGTATGTTAACATGATTTTAAACAGTTTGTTTGAAGTGCCTTCTACAGTTAGCTGATAAACTTCCATGTCCTGGCTGTTCGAATGCTGCCGTTGCACTAGCTTTTCATTAATTTTAAGCCTTTCAACACTAAGGATGTCTTTTTTTCCCCCTCAAAATGTAAAGTTTTGAAACAGGTTGGAGCAGTAGATGTGGCTGTAGCATTAGGCCAGCGGTTCTCAACCTTTTGGGGTTTGGGGCACTCCCACACTGAAACACCGTTATGGTGTAGCACCCCTGGTTGAGAACCACTGTTATGTTGACTGGGTAGGTTGAGGCAGGTTACCAAGTAACTTACCTGGTAGACTAGTAGGTATTGCTAAAAAGTGTATGGGGCTGAAGTGCCAAACTGATGTGATAATGACCTTATATCCTCCTGCCAACTCATTTAGCTAGAAGGAATTTCTCAGAGACTTTCTTCAATATAAGAAGGAAATACCTTTGGGCCCAATCACTTAATGCTTTGCACTGACACTTGGACAACCTGGATTTGATGGCTGGAGTCAGGCTCTGATTCCACGGGTTCGGTGCTCTACAGAACCAAAGCAGGTTGTATGAAGGGACAGGCTTAAGGGTGCCTGGGATGATTCGAGAGCAACCTCTCCAGCCAATGAACATGGTCTTGTAAGGGAGTCCTGTTCAGCCTTCTTGAGAAAGACAGGATTGCATTGATACGGCTCTAGAAAACAATTTCAGGTTACATATTTTTGTGCCGTCTGTGGAAGTGGATTTTTCTAAGTGGCAGTGACAGAGGCATCCAATTGTCTTCCGTATAACAATCTGTAAAGATAGATGATGTGCCGAAACACTTTTTTCAAGTGCTTGTCTTGTAGGATATTGCATTGGATGGGGCCCAAAGTGTTTAAGAACGCTGGGTCAGCGCTGAGCTCTCTAGTGCCATGAAAACCGCTGAGACAAATGTTCCAGGAGCTTGTGGAAAGACTAGGAAAACAAAACGGGCAATACTTAACGCAGCGCTGCAGAAGACTCTGTCAACCACCTACAAGAATAGAAAGGGTGTAAAGACAAATGAGGGGTGACAGTTGGTTTAAGACGGCCTTCGGGGGTTATAATGAGGAGTAGGAATAGGATAGAAGAATGCAAAATAACAGGTAGAACAATATTAAATGTTACCAGTGAGGTTTGTTAGACTGGAAAGGTCCTGCAGAGGAACAGCAGAAGCTCTGCCCACCAGACCTGTCTGCAGCAGTGATTCTCAACTGGGATGCTGCTGTGGCCAGCGAAGCCCTACGTGCATGCATTCCTACTCCGTTAGGGTTTTCCAAGGAGCCTCAGGCAGGCATGGGAGCTCCCTAGTGCTGCAGCCTTTGGTGGTCTGGCCTTCCCATGCTCCTCCAAGAAACAGAGGCTGGCAAGGCATTTCTGCCTGTCACACATGCCTCTGTTTCTGGAGGACACCATTCAGGGTTAGACCAGGAAGGGCTGCAGCCACGGCCAACCTCTCCAGCCTGCTTTGGGCTTACTAGGGAGTCCTAATGCAGGAGGAGTGTGCACGTGTCCCACAGCCATGCACATGGGACACTTTTTATCTGGCCACAACAGCGACAGTACCCTGAGGAGTTTAACAGCACCCGAGTTGAGAGCCACTGCAGTAGGAAAACAGTTTTAACTAACCCATTTATTAAAAGCAATGCTGCCTGCTGGAGTTGTCTCAGCACTATGCCTCCAACTGGTTTGAATTTGGGGGTAAATTCTCCCCAGGGAGACAAATTAAAGCAAGACAAATTAAATTGAAACCCTCTAAGTTCTTCCTAAATTGTAGTGAAGAATATGGGGACATGTGCCAAGTGCTGACCCCTCTGCAGATCTCCTGTTAAAACCAAGTGAGTTTTGCTGAATATGTGGACACCCTGCTGTGAATACTTAAATCTTTTGTGTGGAGAAGCACTTAATGAACTTTCTTTTCCCCTTGCTGGGTGTGAAAACAGAAAGCAATAATAGAAATCAGCTGCCCTAGGTGCTCATCTGTTGACTGGGGAGAGAATTCTGTGGCTTGCTTTTCCATCTCTAATTTTGGTGATTTATTCTTCCTACCATTGTGTGCCTATCCACAAGCTTTCAGTAGGAGCTACTTTAGCTACAACCCCTCTCTTCAAACTGGTATTGGCTGGAAAGGTGAAAACGCATGATTCTGTTTGTTTTATAGCATTTTAAACTTCTTTAAAGGATCAGGAAATACAGCCACTCCAAATGCCAGCAAAGATGGAATTCTTGGGGGGGGGGGGGGTCCTGTGGACCTGTGAAACATTGGTGCAACACAACCATCTTCTGTAGTGCCTTTTTAATGGGCATCTGTACATATGGAAAGATGGTAGTGTCCTTTATTAAACCAGGCATACTAACTTGATAAGATTATTTCTAATTCTCAATGTTACTAACCCTGCTATCTTTCCCTGAACTCTCAACTTCCAGTTTAACAAAGGTTTAGATCCTTTTAAAATGGAAATACAGTTTATGTCATCTTATTAAAGTTGTACCACTTAAACTTTTGGTCTGATTCTATATAAAGATGGATGTAAATCTGTTTAATAGCTTGGGAAATGAAAGGAGTAAAGATGGCTCATTTTGGTGTTTCAGAGCTGGTATCTAACCTTTTCTGGGATCCCTGAAACTGAGAATGGTTCACTTCTGAAGCCAGTAAAGAAAAAAGTATAATGAGAGTAGGAGGAGTAGTAAGTTAATTGTCAGTTTGCTCGAATTATTATCAGAGGTGTGTGTCCAGAGTGGTAGCACAGGTATTCTGCACCTTGGCTAATAGTCAGCCTTGGGCCTGTCAAGCCCAGGTGATTATATAAATTGAAAGAGGCCATGTGGCATGTAATAATTTAGGTGGCTAGAGTGTGCAAAGTGAATTTCCAAATGTTCATACATTTGGTTATGAACGTACACTACAAAGCTAGTTGCGTGTTTATGTAAAACTACTTTTATGAGTTTAGTTTCATTCTCTCTGGTTAATTTAAAAGTGAGAAACAAAGGGGAAAACTCTATACAAGGAAAATATAAAAGGTGAATCAAAGGTTTTTTTGGTTGAAATATTCACATCCTTTCTATCTTTGAAGACTAATTAGAAACCAAATGAAATGGTAGTATGAGTTAGGAGTGAAAATTGAGCGTTGGTGATGGGAAAGGGCTTTGTCCAATTGTTTGAAACTTTGTTCTGCGTCTGTTAACAACTGCTTAACATCAGTGATTAAGGTGTTTTGAGAAAACGATTCAAAATGCAGCCCCTATACGCCTATGTGACGCTGACCCCAGCAAGTCCTCCAATAAATCCAGGGAAGACCGAAGTTGGCATTCCACCTGTTCAGGAAAACATTTGGGGGAATTTTTTTTTCAAATTGTTAAGAAGAGCAAAATAGTACAATGTAAAAAAGAACATTCTTTGTAGGTCACCTTTTAATGGTGATGTTGTCATGTATTTTTATATTGAAATACACTGCTTAACCAACCTTCATTCTGGTGTATAGAGCCAGATGACAAAATCTTTAGTGTGATTCAGGTTGCAGGTTTAAATGGACTGTGGACTGCTTGACAGAGATGTGGAACAGGGTTTACCACTTAGTTTCACAGCCTTTGTCCTATCTGACTTGCTCAGTGTTCAGGAAACTAATTACTCCATGGTTGTCCTTTTGTTTATTCATTTTTGGTCAGGTTTCTTAACCACTATTCTTACTGAGCTTTGAATCTTGCCCTATTCTAGGTCAGGTAAAATTGATGGGTTATTTCATTTCTTTTCCTAGCTAATTTGATGCGTTTCTTTACAGGTCCTTAGCTGTTGGCAGTAAGTCAGGTTACAAATTCTTCTCTCTTTCTTCTGTGGACAAATTGGAGCAGATCTATGAATGCAGTAAGTGTACTTTTCTTTCTTTCTATTTTGGTTTCGCTGTTTTCTTAAAGCCTGGTTAATAATCACCAGAGTTGCATTTACACTTCATTATGAAATATTGCAAGTATGAATTAAACCATTTATTGCCCATAGTTTTGCAGTACAGTATAACATCATAAATCCGGATATCAAAATTCCAGAATTTTAAAAAATCAGGCACTTTTAAAAAATACACTAAATCAGGTAGTAGCGACAGCCTGTCCTGGAGCAGCAGAGGGGGAAGCTTGCCCGCGGCGGGGGGGGTGCGCCCCCGTTCCCCCCATCCACTGCCCCGTGCCACTGCTGCCCACGCTGCCTGCTGCTGCTGCTCCCCCCACCTGCGCTGGGACTGGCTGCCACTCTGGTTTCAGAAATCTGGAACGTTCAAATTTCCAGCAAGTGCTAGGTCTCAAGCATACCGGATTCATGAGGTTATACTATATAAATATTTTGCAAACATAAGTAGCATATGGGAAAGTCTAGTAATAATCACCAAAAGAACTACTGTTTTTCTGCCATTATACTCGGTTGTTGCATATCATAACGTGATTAACATAGAGGAAGTCTCAGGATAGGAATTTTTACTGGTTATTAAGACAGGGACCACTGTTATAGTCGAGTTACAGAATAAAGGGGATCATGGCATTTTATTTGTATCTCGGTCCTTGCTGTCAGAACAAATTGTGAAAAGAGAATACTTGGAGACCTTGCTGCTGCTAAACTTAAGCTTTCTTCGTCCAAATCAATAAAATCTGCACCAGTCCCCTCTTCCTCCCCCCCACCCTTAAACCCTCCCCCACAAAAAATGGTAGCTTCTCAAGCTCTCCCAGTCGGCATGATTTGACCTCTGCCCATGGGGCATGCAGTTTCTGCAGTGGCGAAGTTGAGAGAATCAAGGTCTTTCCATTGGGTATGTAAAATAATTGTGGGGGGTCAGGGGAGGAGGGAAGGCGGTTGGTTAAATGTGTTGCCCAGACATTATCTGAACATCACATATGTGAGCGTCAAACCCCGATGCACAGAATAACCCAAAAGAGTAACTGTGGATTTGCTGGTGTCGACATCAAACAGTCAGTGACTGTCCATGCTCTGCTGGTTCATGTCGTTCTGCATTAGTATCTTTTGTGGATTTTTTACTGTAGAGTTAAATTGAAAACTAAATAGATGGTGAAATAGAGCAAACTTCGCAAGGTGCAGTAGATGTCTGGCCTTTGAACAGGGGGAGTGGAACATTTTTTATACCTGGTTCCCACAATTGACCTGTGCTGTCACTTCACGGACAACTCTTCTGTCCTTTAGTTCTGTTTACCCCTCTGTGAAATGAGTATACTTGCCTCCCATGCAGGGGCTGTAAGGCTTACTGAAAGTTTCTAACATGCTTTGATGTCCTTGGATTAAAGATGCAATGGAAATACAGCCGAGTAGAGTCCTGGCTGGTTCTAACCAGCTTGTGTCTCAGATGCTGGATGCTCCTTGTCTTTTTATTACTATGCATTTTGTTTTTATCTGTCTTTTTTTGGTGAGGTCCCTTAAACCGTTAACAAAACTGTTTTTTCATATTGTTACACAATAATTTATAAATTTTTCTACTGTGTTTGTTTTAGAAGTTCCTGTGCCTTGTAGATGTTGATAGATCTTATTAACATTTTTTTCCTCTGTGTGTGTTCAGAATCTCCAATTTTCTTTGTTTGCATGGAGTAAGAGGGGGTAGGTAAGGAATATAAAAGATTAGGACTGTGGATGGGGTTAACAACTTCAGTACTGTGCAGCCGACCTTGTGCATCTAAGAATATGGCTAATTCAGGTCAGCCAGACATACAGCCTGACACCGATTTGAATGCATGTTTGGTAGTAAGCACATGTGACTTGGCAGCCGGGAAGGGATTATATCACTTGCATGTTCTTGCTAAGAGAAGGCAAAGAAACCAAGGTGCACCCTGAATATTTAAAGCATTTAACTTCATTAAAGCCCATCTCAAAATCTTTCTTTCTCTAAATATAACCATCTGCACAGATTTCTCGCTCTGGTCTTATTTCTTTACTCTGAGACCAAGAACATTTCTGTAGCCCTTCTACGTTTTTAAAGCTCTGAGGATGTGTGTTGAATTGGTTAGTGTGAACCAGCTCTCTCCTGCTTGTTGCATGCTGCCATCTGCCAGAAATTTTGGCCAGTTCTTCTGTGACCATGGACATTACTTCTATGTATCCTTAACTCCACTCCCAAACCTTCATGTGCTCCTCCAAGTCTGGAAGCTCTTCAACTCTACCGTGGGAAGAGTGACAGGTCCCATAGCTGACCTGCAGCACCCGGAGGTTCATCACAAGAACTTTAGAAGTGCACAGCAGCACCGACTAACAAGTATAACTTGTTCTATCCAGCATGCCAAATTTGTTCATATTAGTGACCACGGTATTTTTAAATCTAGATGCATTATTACTAATTTGTTTGTGGAACCTAAATTGACATTAACATTTTACAGAAAATAGTTGACAGTCTGTCTGCGGTTTGTGACATCAAGAAGATTTGAAAGTCACCGTTAGATTATTCAGCAAAATCCTAACTAAAATTTATTGGCTAAACTAGCTCAGATTTTTTTTCACTTTTGTTCTCTCATCCATTTCTGGAGGAGAGAGAAAACGTTGATTCAAAAAGTGATCGAATAGAATTTTGCAAGTCTGCTTTAAACAGTTTCACTGTTTGCTCTAAAACACTTCTTCCTATAGACGCATTTGGATCACTACAGGGAAGTAAATAAGTTAAATACCACGTTAGATGTTCAAGTCACTTTTGAAAGTCTAATGGATAAAGGATCTTTCCATATTAAAATTGCACGTGATAACAAAAAGCACTAGGTATAAACTTTTCTCTCGCCTGCATGGGTATTGAGACTACTACTTGTGGTAGGAAGTATATGTATTTTATTCATGGAATTCTTAAATAACCAATTTTCCCCCAAATAATTAGGCAGATGAACTAGCTAAAAGTTTCACTTCTGCTGAACTCATGTAGGCTATTGGCAGCGTATTCATGTGCTAGAGTCAAGTTAGACAGATAAAAATAGTCTCTAAGGGAACCTCTGGTTTTATCTAATGAGAACAGTATCAATTGCTTGAGTAGGCCAACAAATGCATCGGAAGCCTTCAGAAAGAGTCCTTTTGGGCAGTTCTCCTGTTTGGCAAGCATCAAATATTGCACTGATCCAAATACTGATTTGAAAATGTTAGAGTGATGATAATGGATCAAGGCAGGAAGGCACAAGTCACTTGCCTTGGCTGAATCTATAATGGAACACTGGACTTTTAGCAGATCCTTATTTACGGCTCTAGAACTGCTGTAGGCAACTGATAAGTACTCTCCTGTTATCTTCCAAGACTTAACAGCTTTATTTCTCCTTTCCACTTTAATATTAAATGCATATATACAGCCAGCTATCTTAGAAAATGCCACTGATCCAGCAGGGGAGAAGGAATTGCTGCTATCTGGTTCAGTGGATTACCTCCGTGCTCAAAATGTTCCTGTATCACCTTGAACTGTGCACTTGTCAGTTTTTACAAGCCATTTTGAGATCATGCCTAGAAACCCTTTGGATGAGAGACCTCCAAGGAAAATCTTAAGAAGTGCTGGTGGCCTTGAATTCTGTCAGCATTTACTTAATGCCACCGCAAGCTCATCCGCAGCATGCTCATCCGCACTGTGCTGGTGGTGGCGCTTTCCTTTTGCTGGGGTCCCCTACAATACCCTGTCCCCGGTGTCATGCATGTATTTCAGTTGGCTGATTGCTCAAATTCCCCATTCATTTTCAGTGTATTTGTTGTAGTGTGCATGTTGTATGTGCGAAACTGTTGTTGTTTACTTGTGCAGTTGCTACGGTTCAGTGAAGGGTGAAATGATTCCTGTATGAAATGTTTTATGGACTTGTCAGATGAAAAACGATGCATATAAAATAGCGATAAGGCTCTGGCCGAAACAGTTTTAGGACAATCAGCCTGCCAACTTCTTTGAGCACAATACTCTGTCTGTCTTTATGGAAATCTGTGCATAAACTCCAGATCGCTTGTCATCAAAAAGCCAGTCACAGGAGAGGACTTAAAGAACAGATTTATCCAGGTGGTTTCTTGCTTATTTTGCTATATACCACACGATCCAAGATCTTTCTTTCTCAGATGTAGATATCTCTGTTTGGTAGTCTGCTTGTCATCTCTGTGAAAAATAGTAAATATTGTTTTTTGAAAAGCTTATCTTTTAGAAACTTCTAAAATCTGTACCCACTTGAAGAAAGGACTTTATAAATCCAAATTTGTGGGGCCTGAGCTCCATGGAGAAGCCCAGAGTGTATACCACTTCCCATTTTTGAGGATTGGCTTCAGTCTTTTTGTGTTCCTTAGACCGTCTTTGCTTTAACATGACGCTTCTTCCATTTCCTCAGCTGACACAGAAGACGTGTGCATCGTGGAGAGGCTGTTCTCCAGCAGCTTGGTGGCCATAGTTAGCCTTAAAGCCCCACGCAAGTTGAAAGTCTGCCACTTCAAGAAAGGGACTGAGATTTGCAACTACAGTTATTCCAACACAATTCTGGCTGTGAAACTCAATAGACAGGTGAGTAGTAATATTTGGGTTGATAAGATGGCTCTTGAATGTGGACACTTCTCCATCAACTCTTTCTGTATCAGCAGAAAAAATAACTCTTCATTCTGACTTTCCTGGTCCCAGCACTAGAATGGTATAAAAACGTACTTTCCAAATGTCTGTGAAATTTGGATGAAGGTGAATATTGTTGTGGAAAAATTCCTCCCATGGCATCTTGTTCAGTAACTTCAGGAACTTCACAGGAATTCCCTAGCTCATTGCTTTCTGTATGCAAAATATTGTAGAATTGTGAGTTTTGTAAGTTTACGGGTTATATTAATTAAACAATATATCACATATACTAGCACGTAGTTAAAGATGGCTAAAATGAATAATAATACAAAAATATATTTTTATCTAAATCTTAAAAAAATAAATAAATAAACCTAGTTGACACTAATAACCTGTGTTAAGGTGTGTGTTTACTATAATGCATCTTTCGCTGCATGAAACAGCATTGAAATTGGAGCAGTTTTGTTATATTCGTATTATTCTCAACTCTTTCACACAGTAATTAGAGTGTACCAGCTGCTGTCCTTTGGAACCATTCCCCTTTGGAAATGGCTCCAGATGTATATATACTCAGATCCTTAGAGACTAACTGGTTCAGAGAGGCATAAGGTTTCATAGGCAACAGTATTTCTTCAGATGCTGTGAAAATCTGTTTGTAGTATCTGATGAAGTAAGCTGTTGCCTATGAAAGTTTAAGGTGCCACTGAGCCCTGCCTTCTGCCTGGCTTCAAACAACACAAGCTAGCCACCTCTCTGAACCTTAAAGAAATCTGCATCTCTGAACTGGTAGGAATTGCTGAGCAATCTCCTGGAACCAGTTTGCTGAAGTTCTAACCTCGCAGTAGCCCCTACTCTGGGTTGAGAGAGAGATTTATTTGGTTTATTCAACTAATTCTTTCAAGTTGAGAAACTAACTGGGAGTCGAAGTAAGAAAGCTTGCTTTCCTCCTACAAACTGCATAAATATTAGGTGTGAGGACAAACAAGATCTAGTTTTAAAATCTTAAAGGACACGATAAAGTTCACGTACTGCAGTTACTTTTACACGTGTGGTTTTAAATGCAAAACATGATGCTCTTTCTTGTGTATCCAACATGACTATGATCATGTCAATAAAAAAAAATATGCAAGTTTTTAATTGAATGCCAGTTAATATGCAAACATTGGGTAACATCACTAAAAAATAAATGCATCCTTCACTACTTTATTACACACAACTAAATAAATTAGTGTGTCTTTCTGGTTAGCAAAAAATACCAAATTATACAGCCTCTGAGACTAGACCTTTCTTGAATTAGTCCCCTGTGGTGAAGTTGAAGGAAGTCGAACACCTAGCAGTTAGGGGTTGCCCCGTCTACTTCCTGTAAACACAGACTCAGCTGAATCTTAATTCTCCTCGCTCCCTCCCCCATTTTAGAAATAGCTAACACTGGATTAGGTACTGATTGTTTACCTGTTTTCAAAATGCACTTGATGTTTTTCACATGCTTACTTGGGCTATGGTAATTAGGGAGAAATAAATAAATATATGTTACAATATCATTTGTTCTCTCATTTTTCCTTTCTCTGTTTTTAGAGGCTAATAGTATGTCTGGAAGAGTCTCTTTATATACACAACATACGAGACATGAAAGTACTGCACACAATCAGGGAGACTCCTCCCAACCCTGCAGGTAAACTATTTCTTCAGGTGCTCCCTTGATTTTTAAAACTAAAATGACATGTATGATCTGTCTTTATGCAACTGTGTTATAAGAAACTGTAGTTTTCGTTAGCCACAAGTTTTTTATCTCCACTTTCAGTGGGGGTAATAATTAACAAACCTTGAAGTACATTCATTCTTGCAGGGTAGCAAGTTGCCCAGTGAATGTGGGCCATTTCTTGGATTGATTTTTGCATTCAAGCAATCACAAATGGAGTACTTCCTGCCATCCCTTTAATGCAACTACTTGTTACCCCCAGAGTATCTTATTTTTCTGAATTGGTGAAAAGCCTCTTAAGCATATTATTCAAACATGGTTGTAAACTAACCATGGAAAATTAAGAATAAGCTGGTACACAGCCCTTGTCAGATAAGACTTCAGATATTAGAATGAACTTCCAGCTTTTTATCATTGGAGCTGCACCTTTAAGATAACTATTTTCTTTGCTTTTAATTTAACATACAGTACAGCTTTTTTTCTTTTTTTTATAACTAGTTCATATATTGATATCTGACTTTAAGATTATGTAGCCTTATCCCGTTTTGTGAAGGCTTTCTGAGGGTGGGAAGCTTGTAATACCTCGTAGCTTGATTTGTACGTAGAACTAAAAACCTGTGTAGTGGAAATCTGGCCTCTGGCTCTCTAACCCCTTTGTTTTCTTGCTTCCCTTTCCTAGGTTTGTGTGCGTTGTCAATAAACAATGACAACTGCTACCTGGCCTACCCAGGGAGTGCAACCATCGGAGAAGTGCAAGTCTTTGATACCATCAATCTGGTGAGAGAATGCAATAAATTGCCCCACCACCTCTAAGGATGTACTTGAGACAGGATTCTGTGTGTTCAAAGGAGCTAGTGGGCACTCCAGTTTCCCAAGATCTGTCTGTGAGGTTTTGATTGTGGTCGGCCTCTTTGTGCAAGTAGACATAACAGACAGTAAGAGCGTAATATTACATCTGATTAGTAAGTAGGGCTGTGAATTAGAGAGAGAATAATTAAATACCATAATGCTCTTTTAAAGAAAAGACTCTTCTGCAGTCAGTCTGTTTATAAATGTTAGTATGCTAATGTTTTGTAGGCAATAGTGGTACACTTCAGTATTTTCCAATAGGTAGAGCAGATATTAAAGTCTGCTTATAAAAAACACCTCTGTTTACCTTGCATGCTCTTCCATGTCCAGCATTGAATTGTAAATATGGGGTGGGTGGGTGGTGTTGCCTGTACTAGACTAAATTCTGTCTTTTATTGGCTGATTCTTGCAGAGAGCAGCAAATATGATCCCAGCTCATGATAGTCCCTTGGCAGCATTGGCTTTTGATGCAAGTGGTACTAAACTTGCCACAGCATCAGAAAAAGTAAGTTTTGATTTGCTTGTGCCTTTAGAATAAACCTTATTTCAAAGTATTCTAATTAAGTGTGCACATCAGCACTTCCGTTGGTTTTTTGTTTTGTTTTTTTGTTTCTCCCTACCCCCTCAAGAGTGGCTGGCTGGTGTATAATGAAGACTCTGAATTCAGAACTGCTAATGTTATTGGGTACAGTTTGCATCCTGTGAAACAGTGTTTGATAATGAGGCTTCTTAAAGAACTAAATTGTGTCCAATTGATTGTAATCAAGACATATAGTTTAAACATTTTCCACCAGTGCTACAGCATTTTATTTTTAAAGAGGTTAGCAATGCCACGTTAGGAAGGTGACCTAAAACAGAAACAAGACAGTAAACGTCCTGATGGAATAGAGAAGAATCATTTCCTTATGCCAGATACAGGCAGACAATTGCACAATTGGCACAGCTTCCTCCTTTTGTATTTGGATATTATGTGCTTTAGAATCTAACTAAAGTGTATTGCATTTTTCTACCTGGTTAGGTGAGGTAGTCCTAGCTTTGTCAGCATGTGAACATGCAAGAAAATATGCTGAGAGAGAGAGAGAGGACTCCTTTCTGCTGCTCCCACACTCCATGGTGGGATAAACCTGACTGTTTTATGGTGGCAAAAATTCTGATAAAAGAATCTCAAAGCTTGAGCTGCTGGCAATAGTCCTCTGATCATTGTCCACCCTGTGTAGTGCACAAAGAGGGTATTTAAATTGAGGAATGAGGTTTGTTTTGTTTTGTTTTTTTCTTTTTAGGGGACAGTGATCCGAGTATTTTCCATTCCAGAGGGACAGAAAATCTTTGAATTCCGAAGGGGAGTGAAGAGGTGAAGTTCAAAACCGCTCATTCTCTGAAGCTCGTTCCTTGCGGTAGATTTCCAGTGCATTCTGTAGTTTGGCTTTACCTGTAGTCTTGAAATATAGTGATTGAAATAGATTTTAAGGGGTCCAGGAAATAAAGTTACAGGTGAGGTTTATACGTACTAACTTGAGAAAGCAAAAAGAGAATATGGCTTTCTGTGACTCGAGCCTTGTTCCTTTCCTTTGCAATGCTCTGAAATACTCCTAGCATAAAAAATTCAGTGCAGTAACAGACCATGTTGCACATACTGGGGCATCCTACACATGTGCTTTAACGCACATTAGCCAATTTTAATGCACATTAAACGTCACTTAAAAACTGTGCTGTTTAGTTAATGTGCATTAAGACAGGCCAATTTATATTTTCCTAGTACCTCAGAGCAATTTTACATGTGCTCCAGGGCTGGGGGGGCAGGGGGCAGTGCTTTAATTAGTGGCGCCGAGAACCACTCTGATTGAAGCACTGCCAGATCTCCTGTATCAGGTTCCCCAAACTTAAAAACGGCAACACAGGTGCTTGAATTAAAGCTCGTTCGAGCTTTAGTTCAAGTGTCCCCACCACCATTTTTAAGCACGGGGGTGCTGATACACGAGATGCAAGAGGCTGCTGGAGCACGGTAATTGCCATGCTCCAGCAGACTCGATTAATCAAGTCTGCTCCAACGTGCTAGAATTGCAGCACGTCAAAGCAGCCTCAGCACTTACATATAGGCACCCTCACAATGGCGGTACTAGATTTAAGGTGCATTAACTAAAGCACATTAATGCATGTATAAATGTGCCCATTGAGCCATACATATCTCCTAGTGGTGATGGTGTTATGAAAGATTTTTTCTTATTTTCTGCGGTGTGGGGGACTGTTGTAAACTGCTGAAGGATTTTAGAGATTCAGTAATACTGTACTTGTCTAAAACAAGATTCAGCTATTGCATTGCAGAATCATTTTTAGCACTAATTGCTGAATTTGTCAGTGGTTATTGGCTAGTGTCAGATTGGATGATTTGGATAACAAAAAAAATTGCTTGTTATAGGGAAGGAGAATGCTGTCCTGACTCTTCTTTTTTTAGGATGGCTTCTACCCAAGGTTTTTCCTGTATTTCCCAGTGTCAAATTGAGTTGCATGTCCTTGATGAGAGTGTTTTGCCTCTGCAGATTTTTGATGATATACCAGAACTTTAAATGGCCTTGCAACACAAAAAGTTGTGAAGGCCTGGTTCTTCTAGTGTATAAGACCTGTTTTTTAAGTGAGGCATGTTTATATAACAAAGCAGCAATCAAGGACCAAAGCAAACACTGTGTTTTTAATTTAATGTGCTTTTAAAAGCTAGTCCAAAGGCCAGTTATGACTCTTGGTAAGTTCACAGCCTCCACCTGAACTTCTACAGCAGACTGGCAGTATGGAAAGGTAGGAAGTAAAACAGCTTTGAAGATCAACATATTCTTTAAAAAGAAATGTATGCTAGGAGAAGTGACTTTTAGTCCACTACAACGCATCCAAAACTGTGTTGGCATTCAGGGAAATTGTATTGGTTTTTCACATCTTTGTTAGTCATACGTGAGCCCAAGATGAGATGCTTTAACTTTTTTAAAAACAAAATTTTAAAACTTCAACCTTTTGAAGGGCAATAGTTGCATCTACTGACTTCCTTTCTTTGTCTCAGTACATTTAATGCTGTAGGCAAAACAAGACCATTTCGTCTCTCAGTAATTTGATATTGCCAGTGTACAAAGCATAAGGAGGCACTTGAGTATAAGCTCAACATTTTAGCAAACGATTAAAACTTTAGAGTCAGGACAATAATCATTCTTAGCCATATGTGTGCCTTGGTCCTACACCTGTCTATGGCGGTAACACTTTCCAATTACAGTTGTAAATTAGCCACTTGGAAGTTGGTCTTGTTCTGAAAAGTGGGGTGAAGGGGTTAAAGATCATATCTTTGATGGCAGTCTCTCGGATGTATGTCTTAGACCTGTGGGGGTTAACAAATGAATCCTGGCAGAAGTCTTGCTGGAATTTGGTTTTAATTGCAAAGCTGATCCTTAGAAAAGGCAGAATTAGTTTTTATGTCTTTACCTAGTAATATCACTACTGACCCACTGCCATTTTCCATTGAAATTTGACTTGGATTCAATAACATTTACCAGTAAGAATGTACAGGTGACAAACTTTGTGCTGTTTCAGCCTGCCAGAAGCAGAGCCACCTCCTCAAACTTTTCCAACCTATTATAACAAATATATGCACTGTACATTGTAACACAGCGTGCCAGTTTCACTAGCTCAAAACTATTAAAATACCTTAGTGGCATCACCAAACAAAAAACCCCCATTCAAATGCACTTTAGTAGTGCCATGTATATTCAGTTTACTCCTCTTACATGCATATGCATAATTACTTAACCACATTACACAGTGCCAGTCCCAGTTGCTTACATGGTAACAACTCTGGTTATAACCCATAAAATGGATAGCATTTTTCAGCCCCATTCTGTGCTTTGTAACTTAATTGTACTCTGGTTCACTGCATGTGAACTGTAACTGTCCATTCTAACTAATTGTACTTCATATAACTATCAAAAGCAGTTGTGAAAGGACAGCTATTAGAATCCTTGAAAATGGGGTAGGGGGACCCAATGCATGTCAGGGCTGCCGGTAGCACAGCACTAACAGAGCTGTACCAAGCAGCATTGATTTATTTACATCAGGTTTGGATAAATGCATTCTCTGGCTAAGTGTATAGCCTAATTTCAGTCCCAAGGCTATACACTTAAATGGTCTCCTGCAGAATGGATGAGCAAGGTTTTGTATTTAATCTTCAATTATACAGGCAATCACTGAAGGTAGTAACATAGTCCAAAAACCTTCAGAATGCCTTTGATTTTCCTTCTCCCTCAACATCAGTACTATATTTTTGTGTAATGCTGAGTATGGTTATAAAAGCACTCGTTATAGATATCAGAAGGTTATTTTACATTCCAGTCATACTAAGAAAGATTTTTACACTTCCGTTTTTTTTTTTTTTTTTGGCTTGCTTGTATCATTTAAAATGGAGAGCTCTGTCCAGGCTAGGTGAAAGCTCATTTCTGTGGCATTAAGGGCAGATTAAAAAGTGTATGTATGGATAGACATAGGTAGGCAGACATTATATATACATATTAGACGTGCACAGATACATCGGTCCCATATAGGATTGGCATCGATATAAGGAAAATTGAGAGTATCAGCAATCGGGTTTTTTTGGCTGATGTGGCCGATAAATGCCGTGTGCATGCGCACAGCCACAGCACAGCATGCAGATGGCCAGGAGCGCAGACTGGCAGCATGGGCGGAGGGCAGGCGGCAGTGCTGGGAGGGGTGGCTACAGGGAATTTTGGGGTGGCTATAGCCCACCCCATAGCCACCCCTTCCAGCGCCACCACCTCCTGCCTCAAGCACAGCTCTAGCCCAGCCTCCCTATTGGGAAGAGGCTGCTGCAGCCCCTGGCCCCAAGCCCGCAGCAGATCACCTACATCCACCTTGACCCTGCACATAAATCTGGGGGCACGTGCCCCCCATGCCTTCCCCGGGGGTGCAGGCAGTGGCAGGGAGCTGCCCCACCTCCCCACACCCTCCAGGCGAGCTGCCCAGAGCTCTGTCCTGCTCTCGGCCCCCCGGGTTGCATTCACTGCACTGGCTGGGCAACGCCTGCCCCAGCACCACTCCCTCCCTCACTGTGGGGAGCCTCTATCTGCTCCCCTTCCATGCCTATTCCCTGCCCCACGCCCCTTCCCCCCACAGACTTACCAGCAGAGCGCTGCTCTCCAAGCTGCCTGGCTGTATTTCTGGTGACACAGGCACGCAGCATTTATTGATAACATTATCCACTACACCGACCAAAAAAAGCTGATTGCTGGTAATGTTAATTTTCCTTTTATCGGTGCCGATCCTATATGCAACCGATATATTAGCGCACCTCTAATATCTATATAAAGTATATGCCCTTAATGCCACAGAAATGAGGCATATATATTGTTAGGGATAATGTCCCTATTCCTTCCATCATCCAGCATCAGTATTGGTGACCTTTAGTTCCTCTTTCCTTCCCTATTACAGTGTGCTCTTTTTCCCATTCTGCTATTTGTTCTCTCATCTGTCTCTCGATCAGCAAAGCCTTTTGTCCATGTTTTGGTAATGTTCCCTTCTTGATCATTGCAGCATGCACAGCCTTGCCCCAAATCTCTCAGCAAACACACCCTTTTGGCATTACACTTAAGATTGTCTTCAAAGACCTAATTGCCCCACTTCTGTTTACGTGTCTTCTACAGCAGCCCCTTCCCAGACACGGCACAGACTTCTCTCCTGACTTCCCTCTAGTGTTCATTGCCCATTCTTGCCTTCTTTCATATTAGCCTGGATGCCTAGAGCAGCTTCAGCCTCCATCCTTCCAAAACTTGCTTTTCCTGCATGTCATTCTATTCAGTATTGTATTTGCTCTTGCCCTTAGAAATGCATTTATATGGGTACATATTTAAGATGGCTCACCCACTATAAGACTCCTAATACAATTATGGCGCCCTGTATAGCCACAGTTATCTTACATATCTGACACTAGAATAGCTGTGTAAAAAAAAAACCAACTTATTCTAATGTTTGGTCCCCATGATCTAGTTATCCCTTGGCTTCTCTTGGGATCATAAACCCACTAAAACCACCTTTTTCACATTTGGGGAGCATTCATATTCCAAGATGGAAAAAAACACATTAAAATAATGCCAGTATGTATCCTGTTTTCACACATCTCCAGATCTTTTGCCATTTCTATTACAATAACAAATATCTTCATTTCTGCGGTACTTAGCAATGTGGTTCTGATTGCTCTTAATAGAAAGATGGGAAGACTGTTGCTGTCTGAATCCTGCTTCTGGTAAATAGCTAAGGAGTTAGAATGATGTTTGAGTTGGTATCCAAATGCTAATAAGTAAAGCGGGAAAAGATGTCAGTAAATTCAGAGTGCTTTTTAAAGAAACAGGTTTCCTTTTTGAGAAATTGAGGGCAGTGTAATCTGTCTGGTTTTTTAAATCCTTTGGAGATCTTCCCTTTGTGACAGTGACCTGTGGTCTTTGATTGGAGACTGAACAAGGAAGCTGTTTCTGGTTCCCCCCACACCTTTCTGCCACATTCCTGGAACTTTTCGTGGCCTTCACAATGCAGCTCATGTATCCACTGAAGGGGCCTGCAGTGTCTAATATACAAAGATACCAGCATGGGGCACTAGTAGGCTGATTTAAACAGTCGTTCATGCTATATGACTTAATGTTGACTCTTCCGTTTCCCAGTTGGCACAGCATTAGTACAAAGAAATGCGCTTGCTGTCTTTTCTAGGTGTGTGAGCATCTGCTCGTTGGCTTTCAGCATGGATGGTATGTTTTTGTCTGCATCAAGTAACACGGAGACGGTGCATATCTTCAAACTCGAGACTGTGAAAGAAAAGTAGGTTTCCAAAATACTTGAGATTTTGTTCAAGAAAAAAACTTTGTGTATGTTTGCCTGGGCCTTTCTTTTGAAATCATTTAAGTTAAAGACAGTGAATTGTGAATCGGTTGACTCAGCTCGCAGCAGGTAACCTATACATTCCTCTCCCAGGAACACTCCAATTTACAGAGAGCAACGTGGGGCCCATACATGTTTGTAATCACGTTTTTGTCTCTTACTGTAAACGTATCCTCCTCATGCACTGGCATCTGGATGCAGTAAGCGGTGAGAGAGGCTACTGCTTCTAAAACATTTCATGGGGGAAGGGGAGTGTATAGAACTTCCGAAAATCTCTCTACCGTATTACGGGATGACATGCCCTGTCTGCTGTTTCAGGATACAGACAGAACATGTATTCCTAAACTTAGGGGAGCTGTCCATTAGAAATTCAGGGTGTTTTACTGTGCCTTCTCAGGAAGGTTCTGTAGAAAATGAGTGGCACTGTGACAAATGAACAAGCGAGTACAACCTGATTGAGAAGGGAAGTAGTACTTTATAGTAGTCAGTCATCTTAAACTTGGTTTTTGTTTTCATTTATGTAATGATATATAAACAGAAAAATCGTTTTACAATTTTATATTCTGCCTTTTCAGTGAAGGCAGTGAAGCACTTGCAGGTCACTAAGGCTAAAGTCACTAAGGCTAGAAATGGGCGTCACTGAATGAAGCAGATCAGTTGTGCTGTGATGTGTGGTTGTAACGGGCAAAACACACGTCACCCCTTGTCCCACTCTTGATGGTGTGGGAGAAGGGGCAATGTGATCTCTCTGATTTCCCTATTTAGCCAGACCTATCCCTGGGGCCGGGGCTGACTGAGTGGGGAAAGCAGGGCTATTCCTTGCCCAGCCGGAACCGGGGTCCACTTTCCCTGCTCAGCCAGACCCATGC